AAATATTTTTTGTAAAGACAATTTTCCAACAGACCAGAAGACAAGAAGTCTCACGCAGACATAAATTAGCAGGCTGCAGGTAATTCAATGTTTTGCTATTTCTAACATAATTTCTTGTGTAATCTCTCTTTTTACATACTGAAAAGTTGTTTGATACTTGTCAAAAATGGCATTCTCTTGCTTTTTAAAACTATAAGATATGTGATTTTAGGTAATTATATTGAAATTATTCCTAAATAATAAATAGAATTAAATTTCCTTGTATCAAAATCTAATGTATATTTCTATTTTGAAGTGCATCCCTGGACTATTATTTACATGGCTGAGGTGGCCCTATGTACAAGTTGAGTTTGACATGCCTGCTGTAGATGTTTTTCATCACATCTAACCCGTAACAGCTGCTCTGTAAAGATGTCTTCTCTACACACTTCATAATCTTAGCAAGTATTAAGTTCATAATGCAGGGACCTTCCTGAGAAACCTATGGTCTCTGTGGAAGTACAGAAAATACATATCTGCTCTTTATGGAACTGAAGCACTCATTACTGTGTTCACACATGCCTATCATGACTTTGCATCTGACACAAACAAACACAGTCCAAAACCCCATAATTATTATACCTTTAAAAAAAACATGTTCACAATTGTCTCCCAAGTGATCTCATTCTTTCAGGTCTTGTCAAAATATCTGTACGCATTTCTCATATTCACATGTGTGCTATATGACCTATCCATATCATGATCTGAACAGCCGTTCATAGGACCTGAACCAGCTTGCGGCATCTCAACTGGAGCTGCTAAGGAAGTGATCAGGGACTGGACTGATAGAAACCATAAAAAACACTGGGAATCCATAACTGGACTCAGACAGGCAAAGGGCTTTACAGCAGGACCCTCTGCCAGAAGAAAGAAGGATCTGTTGAAATTAAACAGAGATCAACTAAGATGGGTGGTAGGATTACTTACCAGACACTACCACCTGAAAGGACACATTTTCAAGTTGGGACTGACAGACAACCCAACTGGTGAAAGGTGCCTACAAGAAAGTGAATAAGCAGCACACATCCTGTGTGATTGTGAGGCCATTGCTTATTTAAGATTTTGTCACTTGTGACTATTATAACATCCCCCTAAAGCAGGGTCCTACACTCTATTAAAAGTGTAGGATTAATAAAGGGCTAGACCAAACAGAAACACAACAGTTCATTGAAGGTCGCAGTGCAGGGGCCAGTCTTTATAGCTTACCTCTTACATACATACATACCCATATCACTCTCCTTCAATTGATCCTTCTCCCACATAATAATGCAAAGTTTTACAATATGAAGAACCATGTAAACTCCCCAGATGGATTATTAAAAACTAACACAAGCTTGGCATAAAAACTTTAGTTTCTTAGGATATTAAAATTGACAGATGACAATAAACTTTTGCCTGTGCACACAAGCAAACACTCACCATCTTTTCTGTCACACCAGGAAATGTTTCTTCAGCTCTCTGTACCAGAATTCTCGGCATTCCTGTTGCAAGAGAATGCAGAATCTTTCATAACCTTGAAACCTTATTTTATCACAAGATGATTTGTCGGTGGCAAATGAATTAATTTACAAGTATCCTAGTGGTATAGCATTATATTTCTAACAAGCATACCAGTACCTAGCTCTGAATATTAGCCTACGTCTGTAAGCAAACATACTAATTATTGTGAACAAACACACTGACGTGCCGGACTTTCTTCTCACAGAAGAGCCGGCAGAGATTACTGAAGATTAGTGTCTTGCTACACGTTGTATAGGCAGAGATTACTGAAGATTAGTGTCTTGCTACACGTTGTATGGTCTAACAAATTGTTGCTCAGTTTTGAGTGAACCACTTGTTTCCACAACGTGGATAACTGGCTACCAGACTGCAAGGAGTTACTTCCTAGATACAGCAAACCTACTCTACAAATTTACATCGTAGAGCCGCAAAAATGCGTGTGTGCACTGCAACCTCGACCAGTTCAATATAGACCATCAGCTCTCACGACTTCCCTTACGTGTGGGATTGGTATGCGTAATAGGCGAGAAACGGCATAAAACAGCAAAAATGTACATCTACTTGAAACATCACCCTCAGAATGGGCATTGCGTAGTTTAGCAGAATCCCAACTAGAACTTGCAACTGCGGAATGATATCACGAACACAATAATTTGTAAAAATATGAGGAAACCGAATTTCTCTGGAATGATCCTAATGATTCCATAAAGAATAGATAAAATTTACGCACTTCCATTATAAATATAACACCCGAAACCATGAATGCAAGAGTTTGTTCTACTTGGAATGATGCTCACTCGTGGTTGCTCGTAATCAGCCCCGTGAAAGTCCCTTGTTATTGGTTTGCAACATGAGCGCCATGACACCTCGGTGAAACTCTTCTGCCATCTATTTTCAGCTTACATGACTAAATTAAAAATGACCTCCAAGGCCGAGAGGACAATCGGTAACAAGGTATGCTACCTTAGCAACTATTTTGAGTGCTCCCACCACGCCCCCCCTCAGAATGCTTTTTTCGCTACTAGCAATAAATACTTTTAGATCTCTTGTACTGCAGTCTCTCTTTCCTTCTGGCGTTGCCACTAATAACCTATATGCATTCCTCGGCTCCCCATTCGTGCTACATGCCCTACCAACCTCATCCTCCTCGACTAGTGATATTGAACACAGTTCAAAGTATTCATTTCCCCACCAACCTATTTCCATTTCTGAACTGATTAGTCGAGGAGGATGAGGTTGGCAGGGCATGTAGCGAGGACTGAATATAAGATATTAGTGGGAACGCCAGAAGGAAAGAGACTACTGGGAAGACGAAGGTGTAGGTGGGTGGATAAAATTAAAATGTATCCTAGTGAGACAGGGTGATATAGATTGGATTGGACTGAACTGGCTCTGGATAGGGACCAGTGGAGGGCTCTTGTGAACATAGTAATGAACCTTCAGGTTCTACAAAAGACTGGAAAATTCTTGAGTGGGTACACAATTGACAGCTTCTCAAGAAGGGCTCAGCTCATAAGTAAGTTTAATGTCACTTCACCCATATCCTTTGGTTTGGATCTGAGTGAAGTTCTATTAAACTTTGTTCCCCACCTTTTCCAAAAAAAAAAGTAAGAGCAGAATGAGAGCCTCTGCAGGTCTGGAGTGAAAGAGATTAGGTTGCAAATTAATTATCTGGAGAAAGTTTGTCACCAGGCCTGGAAAATCATAACCTTTCTTTCACATGAAACACCTCTTTAACCAAAAGCACTGAACATCCTGAACTGTAACATACATGGAATACTTGTATTTAGGAAAGCTGAAGGTGGGGAAACTTGAAAGAAAAATCTGTTTCAATCAGAGATACATATATTAAGCCTCATAATTTCCTCATAACTTACATTTGAAAGCCACAAAGAACACAGTTTTCTGCTTACATTTAAGTATATTAAATCATATATTGTAAGAAACAATACTCATGTTCACATTTATTATTTTCATTAGAATAATGGAATTCGAGAATGTGAAATACACCCGTCAACAAGATTAAGGCTGCATTTAATGATACAAGAAAATCTGATATATTCATCTTCACCAGTTCAGTACTGGGCAGAACAATATGGCAGAAATAATAACATATCTTAAAATGAATCTCAAAGGCGTAGGGCGTAAGGGTGTGAATTAGAATAATTTAGCTCGGGATGGGAACCAATGGCGGATTCTTGTGAACACGAAAGCGAGCGAGGAATTTATTGAGCGAATGTTATCTCCTCAAGATGGACTCTGGCCCACTGAGTTATAATTAGGGATAGATTTGGGGTCCCTAATCTAGCGAGACGCATATGGCTCACGGGACATGTTGAGTAACGCAGATAATTCACAGAACTAACACTTGAAAGCGCTGGATCCAGTAGCAGGGAAAGAATGTTCGCGAAAGGAGGCTCCAAATGCTACGCAGTTTGTCTCCGAGATGGCAGAACAAGAAATGAATGTCCTATTGTCAAGGTATCGATAGAGGGAAGCACCAAGATTGCGAAATTGCGAATGTGGTGACGGGTTGCAAACGGAGGAACATATCTTCCGGGACTGCAAAATGTACCAAAATGACCATCGGGCAGCAATGATGGACATTTTGTCTGAGAATACCCACAGTTACAGGGCTCTTATGGCTAGAAGAAGAAGAAGAAAAAAGATTTGTGCAAGGCCTCTGTTACTTCACAAAAAAAAATCCTAAATTTATTTAAAAAAGAAAAATAAGTATATTAATACCACATCAGTAGGTGAGTCAAGGCCGCGCCAGAGTTCAAGCGGTTAGTCGCTGGCTTCCCACTGCGGCGGCTCGGGTTCGATCCCGAGTCTGGTCAAGTGGGATTTGTGGTGGACAAAGTGGCGCTGGGGCGGGTTTTCTCCGAGTACTTTGGTTTCCCCTGCCAATCTTCATTCCACCAAATTCTCCATCATTATAATCACTGGGGCAGGCTACAATAGGCCAATCAGTGGCTGGCTTACTGAGTGGACCCAGTTGGACTTCATCCCCCCCCCCCACACAAAGGATTGCCATTAGCAGGATCACAGACACTTCTTTGCATAATCACAGCGGCATTTCTGCTTGTCATTTCAAATGACTGTCGGTAGAGAATTTAACATTGTATATATTTATGTTATAAAGTAGGTGTGCTGTATGTTCATGTTATCTAGCACACATAAAAATGTAACCAATCGCCTGTTTCTTACTGCGGACCTAAGAGAGAAGACCCAAAGATATGAAATGTAGTGGCCATGGCTGTAAACTGGTGTACAAGAATTGTCGTAGAGTTTTTGGGTGCAATTCTCCAAGTACAATTAGAATGATCAAGTCAAGGAGGATGAGGTGGGCAGGTCATAAGTAAGTAATTCAAATTCTCATCCCTAATATGTGGACAGGTGTTCCAGGTGTGCTGCACAAACTCACCATGGACACCGCATTCTTCACAGGCAATTACGCAACTCGCTTCTCTCTGCAAGCTGCCAACCTTACACCAGAAGTTAAGTTCCTTGCATATGCAAATGCCAAATTCAAAGGAAATGAGTGATTGTGAGTCCCACATAGCAGGCCTGTAACGGCACGCCGCTGGATGAAGCACGGTTTTGTGGCAATCAAGGAACCAGACATGTGTAACAGAGGGTGGCATCACAGAGTTGTGTTCTAACAATCTGTGCTGTTTATTTGACTGCAAATGTAGGAATTACATGATATCACAACACAAGAGGAGTCTCTGACATTGCCATAAAATTTATGAGCACACGAAGCACGTTAATATTGCGGGCCAGGTATAAGAATTTACCTGTTTCAATATGTTGTCTATTTCTCTTCCAGAGGAGGCAGAAATCCCGCATTGGAAGAGTAAGCTTGGAGGTGCTGCCACTCCCGAGATGCTCAAGCAAATATCTGGACTACAGTCTCAAGTAAGACTCAGTTCTAAGTTAAGGCTCACTCCAAACATTGTCTAATTGAGACATCAAATCTGTATTGGATTGCATGCCTGATTAACCTGGGGTTCGTGAGTAGAACTCACATCTACACTTGGTTCATTGGCTTTATCCAGTTCATGACTGCTCTAATCATTAAACAGAACCTTCATGTGAGCCAGCATTGTTAAAGTAGCAGCAATGGAAGAGGAAATGCAACTAGCAAAGTTACGAAGTCATGTCCTTATGTCTTCAGTGCCTTCGCAGTGAAAAGCATAAGAACTGTCCCCTTCAGCTTTGCTGCCTTTCGTCTGCCAAACTGAGTTGTATGAGATTTTGTTTCCAGTCAAATTATGGAACAGATTCCTTCCTGAGCTGCTTCCCTTCTCTGGTTCAGTCCTGTGTTCACAACAGCCTGCCACTGGACCCCTACCCAGTCAGCCCGTACAAGTACACACTGTTTTCCTGAGACCCACTTTTATACCACTCTCTCATCTACGTCTCTCTGTGGGTTCTTTGCCTTCAGGCTTCCTAACCAAAATTTGTATGCATTTCCCATTTATTTCATGAAATTAAATTATGATATCAAATAGATGTTGGAGAAATTTGGTAAAGCAGAAAGCCTTTCAAAATGTGTGAAACTGCCATGTTCTCTGTCACAAGAACATAAACACAAAGACAGATGACATTACCAGTAAGTGTATAAGGTTATGGGGGTGATGGGAAATGGTAAAACTAGCTGGGCAGTAGTGCACTCCACTGAATTCATATGGAATGCAGTTCCTAATGCCAACATTTGACACACTTTATTCTGTGCACTGCATACAAAATATTTTGGGTTGGCCTGTAACATGATTTCTGCAGTGCAGCTCCAAATTGACTTCCATCTCCAAACCATATGATATACATGCACAGCAAAACCAGTGAGGAAAAGTAAATGGTTTTGCCAGTTTCACACTTGCATTACCATCCTGAAGCATGGAACAATGTCAAGACTGCAATGAACAGGACTGGGAAGTGCTGGTTCCAATGACGAAGCTCCATGCAGGGCATGAGGACACTCGGTACAACTACCACGCCATAGACAACAGGGGATCCTGGACTCATGTTCGCCTTAACATCTACCCTGATGGTGGCATTGCAAGACTGAGGTTGTACGGTGAGGCACGCCCAAACTGGAAAGATGTGAGCCCTGATGAGGTAAGAACTCGCTCTAAATCTGCAGTTCTGTACTGTTTATAGTTCAAAATGTTTTCCTGAGCAGTCCTTTTAGATTTTTTTGTACTACTGAGATGTTAATGGAAGTTCAGTTGTTAAAAGCATACAAGAATATTCCAAAGAAGTGCTCCCCCCTCCAATTTTACTGCTAAAGCACAGAAAACATTATGCAGGAAGATGTCTCAAGCTTCTGAAGCCTCAACATATGACATAAACTCAGTTTGTGCCTCACAGAAAACACTACCACCATTTCCAACTGGTTAATGCTGTTAAGAGAAATAATCACTGTTTATTGTGAGAATCATATGAAACACATAAATACACTGCATGGGAAAAATAGTGTACTGTAATGCCAAAGCAGGTGGTAGATGTAGGTACCATTCAACTGCAATTTCATCACATGTGATTGTCACATCATATAATGTTCTTCACAGCCTACAGATCTCATAGCAATGGTTAACGGCGGTACATGCCTGGGGTATAGCGATGCTCATTACGGGCACCCAAGAAACATCATACGCCCAGGACGAGGCGTCAACATGGCTGATGGCTGGGAGACAGCAAGACAGCTGGACAGGCCGAGTATATTAGAAGGTAACTTCATAATTTTTGAGTAGACTGGTATTTCTGTTTGTCTAATGTTACCTAACCGTTCCTTGCGCTTCACACAGTTATGAGCTACAGACCATGCATTATAAAGTACATATCGTTATGTCCCCTTCAGCCTATTCTCTTGTTTAACATTATCTTGATTTAAAGTCTTGCATTTTCTGATTTCATTTCTTTCTGCCTAATCTTCTACACCTCTCACAATTTTACCTTTGTAACTTTTATTTTACTGTTGGATTTTTCATTAGAAAATTATCCTTTTGCTGCCTTTATTAACACAGAAGGCTGCAATGCGATTCCAGCACTATAATTTGTTAAAATATCGGTGGCAAACTGTTCTGTAAGAAGGGCTGAATTGCGCACAGACTTGTTGACAGGGGAATGTAACTGTGTGCAGAAGTGTGGGGTCAATATGAAGACGTCTGTCTTCATGTGGTCCACTGGAAGTCAACCGATATTCTGAAGGAACATGTGGCCTCCATCTTCAGGGCCGAAGAATGAGCCAAGCAAGAAACCAGCATTAAGGCAGGGGGGCAAGTAGAGGCCTTCACACGGCCAACTTGCTTTACTTATTTCTCGACCCTGAAGATGGAGGTGACACGTTCCTCCCAAAAGTCGGTTCACTTTCAACAGACTACACGGTGTTATAACCCAGAAGACAGAAATCTTCATAAGCACTGCTGTGAGAACCTCAAAGCCTGCACGTGGTATCAGTACGCATACACACATACTGCCCCATGTTCTCAGTTCAGAATTCCATCTGTTCTGAGACAATGATCATATGGGATGTGACACCATATGGTTCTGTAGGTAGCTGGAACCTCCTCTTCCATCTTCAGGGTTGAAGTAATCTTTATAATTTGTATTCAGCAACTATCATTAGAATGGTCAATTGCTGAGATGGACTGAGCATGTAGCACACACAGAAGAGAAATTCATGCAAAGTTTTGTTAGGCAAACATAGGAGAGGCTATTAGAAAGACCCAGGCATAGATGGTAGGATAATACTAAAAGAAACAGGATAAGAGGGTGTGGACTGGAGTCACCTGGCTCAAGATAGGGAATGGGGACAAGCCCTTGTGTAGTGAATCTTTTGGTTGCATACAGTGCTGAGAACTGTCTGAGTGGCTAAGCAACTACTGGGATCTCGAGAACTCAGCTGCAAATACTCAATCAGTTCATCACGGAAACCTCACACCTCATGTCACTGAGGCAGTTCAGAACTAATATTCTAATATTATAGGTAAAGGTAAAGCTGTCCCTGTGCTTAACTAATTAAGCACTACACCATGAAGGCGTATGGGGAAGTGTATATATAGACCCACATTTTCTTGACCTCAGAACTAGCTGGAGGTGAATGGTCAGCTTCACACCCTGGCCGCTTTACCTGGTATCCACTGTATCGGAGGTTGGGTGGACCCCAGAGCCAGTCTGAATGATGTGGAGAAGAGAAAATTCTTGAACCCATTGGGACTCAAACTCTGATCCCTCGGTTGCCAGCCCATAGCCAGTCGCTATAGCAACTATGCCACCCTGGCTCCGTTCTGTGATTATAAGAAAAGATAAATCCTTCCAAAGAATCAATTTACAAATAAACACCTCAAGCCAACTTATCAGGAAAATGACTGAATATAATATTAGGAAGCTGTCTGTTTCACAGCTGACAGTGATGGAATGCTGCAAATGCCAGGCTGCGAGTGGGCGGTGTTTCAGCTTGGCCATTGTGGCTACATCACGCACATTGAAGTTGACACATACCACTTCAAAGGAAACTATCCTGACTCAATTCGCATTGAAGGAACCACAGAAAAGCCACATGGAGACTGGGGACAGGCAACATGGTACACCCTGCTTCCACCTCAGAAGGTATGTCTGTCACAAGGGTATGGACAAGACGGGTTGCCCACAGGTACGATCAGCTAGGAACAGGTGTCAGTCTGTCCACTGTATGCAGGCAGCTGTGTTGCAGACAGATGCACAGCTGACTGCAGCATCTGATTTTACACAGCACTCTTGTAAAGCAATCATGGAGTGAGGAAGAATCCCACTTTCACCCTGCCACATAAAACCACAGTCCCAGTACTGTGGGGTTGCCAGCCTCACTTTAATCTTGGGGTAACAGTCTATCAGCCAGTAACAGATTTTCAGTCTCCCAGTTCTGCGGAGCTGGTTTTCTTATTTTATGTCTACCTTACAATATATTGGCCTGCAAAAGGACATGTGCTCTGGGCAGATGAAACTGACTGAAGGCCATGCAGAAAATGTCTTCCTATTTTTTTTATTGCTAGTGGGGTGGGACTAAGTCCCTTGTACTGCGGCCACTTCTGGCCTATTGCACCAGCCCCAGATGATAGGTGAGGGTGATTGTGGAGCAATTGGTGGAATGAAGATTGGCAGGGGAAACCGAAGTACTCGGAGAAAACCTTCCCCAGCGCCATTTGTCCACCACAAATTCCAATTGACCAGACCCGGGATCAAACCTGGGCTGCCACGGTGGGAAGCCAGAGACTAACTGCTTGAGCTATGGTGTGGCCTAAATGTCTTCCTCAGTTTCTATCTGTTTTACATGTATTTTTATAATGTCCAGGTTTCCTCTAAAATTAAACCTGTACTTACATTGCAGCTGTGCCCTCATACGCAACATTTCTACAGCGAGAAGAATCTGGAAACAACGGGGTCGTTCATGTACATCCGGGTGACAATAGCCCCTGATGGGGGTATCAGTCGTCTCAGGCTCTGGGGCTACCGCCACAACAGCACATAACAGCATTATGAGGGGCTGTGAGGCTAACTGTAATCCTGCTAGGTTGGGGCACGCTACAAGCCCCGAGAAATTAAATTGTCTAAAAAATGAGTAAAAATATTGCTTTCTCAGTAGTTTCCTGAAAGTTGTATGAGGTGTTAACAAATTAGCACTCTATACTGACAAGATGTATGCTAACATTGGCAAGATAAGCGTCACTTTAGCATGAACCTGAAATGGCAGTCATGTATTAATGGGTGACCCAAGAAAATATAAAAAGTTACAGCCATGTTGTCTGCCATATTAGCACTGCCAGACTGGTTTCTTGCTTGGCTTACTCCTCAGCCCTGAAGATGGAGGGAAGCTGTTCCTCCAGTTTCATCAGACTACACAAAATTATCTGTCAGAGGACAGATTTCTTAATGTGAGAGTACTTAAGCAGTAGCAGGTAACCCAAGTTTTCATGCAGAACAAAAGGATGGATACTGTTTGAACAAGTCCACAAGGTTAAGCTTTCTGTTTTAGTTTTCAAAAATGAAATATCTAAACCCTTGAAAGGTCAGGCTCTGGGTTTTGTTTCTTATAAATAAATTTCTATGGCTGGCAGGGATACGGTAGGAGACAACATGGTGTTGAAATGTTAGTTACCTGTCACCCACTGACACACACGTACCCCAAATTTTCTTCTTACTTACTGCAGCAAACACACACACAGTGCCCCATCCTGATGAATTTGTGCTCCATGTACCGAGCCCCTAACCCGCCACTGAGGTCACTTTGTACCTGCAGTTGCTAGACCTTAATGAAACAAGCAGACAGAGAAGATCAGTTGGGCTAAACTGTAAAGGAAAGGGATCTATTGGATGTCCCAGAAGAAGATGGTTTCACTAAGAACTAGAAGAGAGCAAAGGTGAGGGGAAACAGTGGACAGAAAATCAGAAAGGAAAGATCATGGGAACTGAGAAGAGAGTGCAGACTTTTCATCCAGGAGTCCATGCAAAACAGAAACAATGCTACAAGATGTAGAGGTCACGTTATGTAAGTCGTCCCGACTCACTTTAATCTTAACATAGCTATAAGTGTCATGGTTATCGTTACCAGACACAAGGCATACTTGTAGAGGGTACCTACAAATATGTTGAAGAAGCTGACAGGGGGCAGTCCTTCAGTTGGGACTTAAGAGTGGATTCACGTGGCTCAAGAGAGAGTCTGCTGGGGGGCTCTTGTGAACACAGGAATGAACCTTAGATTCCATAAATGGTGAGGAATTTCATGACTAGATGAGCGAGTATTGTCTTCTCAAGGACTTGGACCCAAAACATTTTCATCCCACAACGCAGTGGTTTCCAAAGTGTGGGGGTGCAACCCCCTGGGTGATGGTCAACTATTTGGTCCTATCAGATATTCTGGAAAAGTGATATATATAGCAGTACTGAACTGATGATAACTATGTTGGGGATTGATTGTTTAATTTCTAGCATTTGCAAAATATTTATAAATATTAATTAATAAAGACCCAGAATGTGTTAATGTTAAAAACATGCATATTGAAGGAAACCACTCTCCACATAGGAAGTTAAGAAGGGGCACACAATGAAATTTTTGCTACGCTTGGGGGGTTGCAATTATGCACAGCTTGGAATTCACTGACTTTGCATTTCAACAAAGCAAGCTACACAAACAGTGACTGAGAACCCCGTTAACATTTTCAGTAGACAAGGAACTTCAAATACACTCAACAGATGACCATTCAGCTTATATTTACACAAATGTCTGAAGCAAGAATACAAGCAGTGTTACAATTACAGGCTGTGTGAAGCAGATTGTATTACAAGCGTCACTTCCTTTCCTTCTGGTTTCTTTGAGTTGTAGCGACTGAAATACAGCATGCCCCAGTGACTCACACGCTGATTTCCCACTTTCTGGTTCTCACAATTTCAGCAGCAACTGTCACCATTTCCCTAACCAGCCCTTCTGATGTCACAAGCACATTCTGCTGACTCCTGGACCCCAGGGTGCACTTGCTGGGTGGACCACTACATTTCTTCAAAACCTTAGCTGATGCATGAAATTCTCGTGCTCCTGTCTGTCGAAGAATTTCCCCAATGTTCACTTTTGTGATTCCTGCACCAGGCATGATAATAATTCGTCCATTTGCATTCAAAACTAATTTCTTTATAACAGGAATTCCTTCACTTGCTGTTAACTCCTGTCCGCTGGTCAGAAGACGGGAAAATCCAGCCTCTATGACAGCTGGTAGAGCCATGCGGATATTATGACACACATCAAATGCTCGATGGAATGTGGCTGGCAGAGGCGACACTACATCCATGATTTCCTTGCATACATTCTTGTCTATCTCACCAGATGGGGTCAGAGCTCCAAACACAAATCCATCCGCACCCAAGTTCTTTAATATGCTAGCATCATGTTTCATAACCTCAACTTCATAACATGAATACACAAAATCTTCACCCCCACGAGGACGCAACATTACAAATACTGGTATTGTTACAAGAGATTTAACAATCTGGAGCATTCCTGGAGAGGGGGTGAGCCCACCTTCACTCAAAGCTGCACACAACTCCAGACGAGACGCTCCCCCATTGTAAGCATTCAGAGCAGACTCCACACTGTCAACACACACTTCCATCATCGCTCTCTGCAATAGAAAGAACAGACACACATTATTACTGGCATCCAGAAATGAATGGCCCAAATCAAGGATCCTCACTGCCAGGCGTGGAAATTTAAACATTATTTTATTTTATTTATTTTTTAAAGTTTAAGATAAAACTAATTTCTGTGGCATATCTGTTAATATTTGTATTAATAGGCCAGAAGTGGCTGCAGTACAAGGGACTTAGTCCCACCCCACTAGCATTAAAAGAAATAGTTTAAGTGTGTAAATGTCACATCAAATCAATACTGAATATGTATCTAAATTAATTAACAATTCTGTGGAAGGCGGGATGGCTTACTCGGTACAGCGACGAGCTACGGGACTAACCGGTTGGGATTCGATTCCCGGCTGGGCCAGATTTTTCTGTTTAGCCTCTAGACAGGCTCTGGGGCTGACCCAGCCTCCTGGGTACCGGGGACTCTTTCCCCAGGCACAAGGCAGTCGGGGCATTAAACACAACAAGTAATATCTAAAAAACTGAAATATTCAATGCATTGCCGACTACTATTGCACCATAACCTCAACACAACATTTTACCTTCACCCCACTCCGTCACCTCCTACGCCAATAACATGCTACAATACTGGCAACCTAAAGTGAATGTACCCTCGAAGATAACATGAGGTACAAATGTACCACCATTCCTTGCGTTCGGCTGTTTCATAAAGTGTTCACTAGAGTCCATCACTAGACAGCCTAGGTAGGAGATTTCCTACATTGAGGCCCCAGGTCTTGGAGATCCTGTCCGAGTGGGGTGTGGGATTGTCGATGTTCCAGAAAATTTCCTTTCAAACTTGCGTTGAAGCCGTTTAAGAATATTTTACGGAGCGCCAAAGAGCATTCAGAATAGAAGGATTCAGTTTGTATGCGTAATAGTATCTTCTGTTAATACTATTTGATATATTTCCTCCTTTTTTCAACTTTGATTATTGTAATCCGGGTGGGGGGATATATGGTCTCCTTCCCCGCCAGCATTATTTAAAATGTTATAAGAATTTCAGACGAGCAAAAACAAATGCATCTGTGCTACTAGCAGGTACGCTATACAAAACCTCTTCAGTTCTAATTCCTGTTTCCTCTCTCTTTTTCGAACGCCAAAAATCTACCAAATGCCATGAAATTTAGTATCTGTTGCACTTTGTTTTGAATAATGTCACTTGAACTTCGTGAAGACACAAAATATTACTGGAGCGAATTGTCGTGTCAGAGCAGGCCAGTAAGTTAGCAAGTGCAAGATTGGTGCACTGTGTCAGACACTAATGGCAGGATTTCCTGATGAGCGAGGATCCTTTGGGTTCTGTAAGGAAGAAACTTCTTGACCTGCTGAATACTGAATACGCAGGAGTGGTCATGCAAGAGGAATATGGTTACCGTGGCAGGTTTAGAATTAGCATTTTAATACAGTCATCCTGTTTGGCCAAAGAACGGTGAATTCCCGTAATTGCTAAGTTAAAATTACGACTTGTGAGGTCTGAAAACAGTGAATTTAAGCATAGTGTATGGTTACACTTCCACCGGTATGTACCCCACAATATTTTTGATTGAGAACATTTTGGGCACCTCCTGCCAAGTGTCCCATATGGTGTAAATAAACATCTGACACCGTTATGTACCACAGAGTTTAGTGCAATTAACACCAAACCAGAATCATACACCTTTTTTGGTGCAATTCAGAACCACCTCTTAGTTTCTCCATGTCTGCCCATTTCAAGTATCAGCACACATACCATCTTGCATATGTTAATAACATTTGGTTTCGCAGACTTATACAAAACCTCTCTCAAGATATTTCCATTTTGGTGCAGTTTAATCTGAAGGGCCAAGCAACTTTACATATACGTTAGGGTATCTGTCAATTTTTAATGAAACTCCACCCATTAACTTGCGCATTATCGCGTGTAAGGTTCACTCCTTCAGTCTGATGTAAGGTCCTCACAACGTAAGGGGCTGCATGTCAAGTATTCAACTGAGAAATTATTGTTGAATGAATATTACAGGGGTTATTAAAATAAAAACGTCACATGTTATATGTTATTTTCATAAAACGTAACATTTTCGAGGAAACCAGTAGCACGAAAACAGTGCGTAGCAACTGGACACTATCGAAATGTTTGTCCAACCTCCTGCCACCGCCTTGAACTGGAGAAGACAGACAGACGTCATGCGTGGATGAAATCCACCTTTAAAAACAACAATGGCGAAGCTTTTGATCAAAACTATATATACTTTTTGTGTTTGCACCCATTCATTTATGGAACATCAATGTCAGAGCTACAATATAGCTGCCGAAAATGGTAGCACATAAATGTCAGCTGTTCATATGGGAGAAGTTCAAAATGTTCACCTTCAGCGGCAAAACATAATCTACATCGCTTAACAAAAGACGTAAAGTGAATTGTTGTGGAACATTCTACATACGTACATAAACTGACAGCAAAGTATCCAAAAGTGGTATCAATTAAATTTGGCGCATTGATTTTTATGATCCGTTTAATCACCAGATGTAATTAAAATCACCAAAATGGAAAGAAGGCGGACACGGGGACTAAGAGGCGCTTGTGAATTGCCAATAAGATGGCAACAAACAAAAAAGTTTAACCAAAATGGAGGGTTTTGCAGACACTGTAACAATGATTACAATTACTGGGGTGCACCGTTCTTTGTTTCACCCGCTCGCCACGGTGAGGCACAGGATGTGAGCGGGACCTGAAACAAAGAAACAGAACAAAAGGGCTTCCATTAGATCAGCAGCAAACACAAACTGGAAGTAACGAGCAAAATGAACAGAGAAGCCTTACCCGTGTTACTGGCGTCTTGATGACTTCTGTGACAGATCTTCATTAAATGCATACTTCAGTATCCCAGCTCGTGCAAGGCGCAACTGAGTGCACCGTTTGAACGTGTCAAAACGGACAAGTCAGTGAAGCAGAAAATACACGCGACCGTAAGGGCAAGGGCACGCCAAGGAAACTGGCAACCGCAACGCAACCGCAATTTTCGAGAATTGTTATCAACCCAACTTGAAGACGTGTTACTGAATGGAGCAGCATAGATCGAGGAAACGGCAACGCAGTTTCCTAAGTTTCCGCTCTTCCATTCAGTAACACGTGTTCAACTCGGGCTGATGACAATTCTAGGAAATTGCGGTTGCGTTGCGGTTGCCAGTTTCCTTGGTGTGCTCTGCCCCTAAGTCGTCTGATGCGAGCAGTGGAAACCTACGGCACGGCGAAGTCAAACTGACGTTTCCAGGTCGGTACTGAGCAAGCGAACTCGTCGGATAAAACAAAATGTCGACGGCTTCTTCTGCCGGAAACGCATACAAAACGTACGGCATATGTACGGCGCTCCATTAAATCCGGAAATCAAACGAGAACGAACATACAAACGGGATTACATCAGTATGTACCTCGTGAGGTTTCGAGAAAAAATTCGTCATCATAACAGAAAACCTATTAGTGTCACACGCCTGTCGGCTAATGGTAGAACTGTCCGCCCTTGTACGTTCAATTTATATTATATTCCTTTGTTCAGAGATTTATTATTACAACAGTTAATTTCTTACACAGAATTACGGGGTTTTTGGACTTTATCCATCGTCCGGTATTCTGGAAAACTGAAAACACGACGTTTCGGAAACTGGATCTGTTTCCGTCCACAGGTGAGAGGGGAAGACACCTGCACAGTTGGACCCGTTAGAAGGAGCTAATCTCAATCAGTCTTTCTAAGGGGCCCAGCTAACTAGGTGTCTTCCCCCCTTAACCTGAGGATGGAAACAGATCCAGTTTTCGAAACGTCGTGCTTTCTACTTCCTAGAATCCGGGCGATGGGAAGAAAGTTCAAAAACACAGTAACTCTGCGTGTTATACATCATCGTCAGATCCCTTAAGAATCTGCAGTTAGTTTCTTCTTCATGTAAAATCCCAAACCTGACTGCAACCGGCAGCTTTACTAACACGTGAAATGTAAGTGTGTTCGTGTCACAGGTCCGCCTTTGTGTCTTGATAAGAAATTGTGTGGTGCGCTTATATTACTGTCTCAGCTGATGCGTTTCTTCGTGATGACAGCCGATGTCTTCAGTGATGATGATGATGATGATGATGATGGAGCAGGTTTCGACCTACCTTATGCATTCCTTCCTGTTGACAGCCGATGTCTTCAGTGATGATGATGTAGCTGGAGCACATTTGACCTACCTTATGTGTTTCCTCGCTATGACATTTTATAAACAGAATTCACAGCACAACATACACAAACAAATACAACATGACACCTCATCAATTTCAATATATGCTTCTCGTGTTAATATAGATTCAGTCACTCATCTTTCAACATCGAAATGAAAGACGGACCAAAGCAAAATTAAGTTTTGCTTTCTGGAATCTGTGTCCTTCCAATGCGAGTTATTCACAGGAAGAGACTCTCAAAGTTCTTTTTATCTCTCTCCCTCTCGCACTGATTTCATTTCGTGCCGACCGAACCCTGTCAAGTTGTCACCCTGTGCCATAAAAAAACACACAGAAATACTTACAACTAAACCCTCCTAAATGAGCGCCCATTATGCCAGCAAGGGCACATCTGGACACAAAACCTACATTCACGCAGCTTAACCAGAAATCCTATCGGGGGCACCTAACGGGGAGGGCGGGAGGACAACACCTTACAAACTAAGTAAAAAAAATACCAAATGCACAGGGTGTCCAACTCAACCTTAACCTAAGCCCTGAGTCATGGCGGCTACCGCATCAAATAGAGTATCCCGTGGCACGGTAATGTTTATCATGACCAGCCTGGGGCCGGACTGAATCATGATAAGACCGTGCGGTGCACTGGCATACCCGATTTACTGCGAGTACCCAACCCCATCCTCCTGCGGACGGGCCCTCAATCGCTAAAGGTTCCGCACGGCACTGTTTTGGTTTTAACGATACACTTTGCGCGGAGCTCCTCTTGCCATGGTCCTCGGTTCGAAGTCTTCATCGGATGGACGCTGCTTCCGTTGGAGATGTCACAACACTGTCACAACACTGTCACAACACTGTCACAACACTGTCACAACACTTAGAGAGCCGTTGCAGTCCGTACAATAAATCCTGACACTGTTATATTACCTTTGCTGGCAAATGCCCACTGAAGTTCTCTGCAAAACACGCGAAATTTGCTTGTGCAAGAAGCAAATGTATGTAGCGAGTTTTCGTATTTATCGGAATTCCCTAATTAAGGTTACGATGGGCTGGTCATATAGCTAGGATATGTGAACATGGTGTGCTTATCAGTTTTGGTGAGGAAAGGGTTTGGAACGAAAACAGGGGCAGAGGTGAGAGGATAATATTAAAAAGAAATGTAAGTGAAATAACTTCAGAACGGTGTACAATAAAGATGTTTGGCACTCGCTATGTGCGGAGTTCAGGCTTCTGCTAATGCTGCATGAATTCGAACTGATTTACTTGGAGAGGGGCGGAATTTATCTGATAGTATGTGATGATTCATTAATATGTACTTCATAAATGTAATCATATATAATAACATATTTCTTCTTCTGTGGCGCCACAGCGCGATGTCGGGCTTTGGCCTCCCTTATCAAGCCCCTCCATTCCTCTCTATCCTGCGCTGCTCTCTTCCAGTTCCTTACGCCCATTAACTTCTTTGCATCTTCTTCCGCCGCATCAATCCATCTAGTTCTTGGTTTCCCAGCAAGTCTCCTACCACCTATTTTACTGTATAACATACAGTAACATATGCAAGTATACAATTTTATAAGTCACTGCTTACTAATAATATAATAGGGCATAACTTTATTCAGTCAATTCTCAGAACATAATCTTAAATAGTGCCTTAGAGGCTATTAAACATTAGTTTACGTAACCTAGAGGCGTGCCATAGCTCAAGCGGTTAGTCGCTGGCTTCCCACCGAAGGTCGGGTCAAGTGGGATTTGTGGTGCACAAAGTGGCGCTGGTGAGGGATTTCTCCGAGTACTTCGGTTTCCCCTGTCAATCATCATTCCACCAAATTCTCCATCATCATAATCACCCGGGGCAGGTACAATAGGCCAATCAGTGGCCGCCGTGCCGAGTGGACCCAGTTGGACTCCGCCCCCACTAAGCGAATTTTATACGTAACCTATTGATGTTTCTGCTACTTACTGCTCGCCCAAGTTTATCTGTACTTCACTGTCGCCCTTTCTTACATCTTCTTACATTCTTATTTATATTTAATCACATATTTGTCCCATTTTCTGAAGTTGTTCTTTATTCTATCGTCCTCCTGATGCCTGTGTCTGTTTCGGCATTCCTACCTCTTGTCTAGAATATCGTCCCTTCACACCTCAGTGTGCGGCTCCAGCCTTCCTCTCCCCCACATATGGGGCAAGTCCCCTGCTCAGTGTTGCCCCTCGCCCCTTGCAGACTCCAACCTCCTCTTTGCGCCATAACTTTCCCCTTCTTTGTAATTTTGTGCTCACTTATTCTCCCAGTTGCTTCTCGCAGAGTTGCGCACGGTCAGTGAACTTCTGCCCCCCCATCCCAACTTCGACATTTTGTCCTTCTGCAGGAACACATTTCTCATATTCCTTATCCATATTCTTTTGTATTCTTTGTTTCTGTTGCGCCCATGGCCCTTAAAATGAAGGCCACGACAGCCCAGGCTTGGGAAAATAAAAGCTTATAAGAGAAATCATGCACAGATTCACTTGTGACATGAAGGTGTGTAGTGGAGCATAATATTAAAATGGATATTAGAGAAAATGTAATTACGGGTACAGGGAGGGCCCATAAACTGCTGAAGCTACTGTGACTTTCAGCGGCATGTGAATACCGCGGCAGAAGAGTGGGAGGGGCTTGGAGACGGACTGAAACGGAGACTGACTGGAGCCGAGAGCTCCTCACGTGTAGACACTTTGAATCAGTACCCTGATGACGAAACTGTGCGTTGGCAGGATTGGCTGAAGAAAACCGCGAGAAGCCTCAGCACAACAGAGATCCGCTTGTAGCATGTCTGTTAACTGATATTTGATGACTTTGTGCTAACATAATTATGACTGAAGAAAAGCACGAGAATCCTCAGCATAACAGAGATCCGCTTGTAGCAAGTGTGTTAACTGATATTTGATGACTTTGTGCTAACATAATTATGACTGAAGAAAAGCACGAGAATCCTCAGCACAACAGAGAGCCGCTTGTAGCAAGTGTGTTAAGTGATATTTGATGACTTTTGTGCTAACATAATTATGACTGAAGAAAAGCACGAGAATCCTCAGCACAACAGAGATCCGCTTGTAGCAAGTGTGTTAACTGATATTTGATGACATATTGTGCTAACATGATTATGACTGAAGAAAAGCACGAGAATCCTCAGAATGAAAGAAAATGCAGAATATGGAGGCAGTTTTGATGACAACGCATTTCATGGCAAAGGGGATGAATGGCCCCGAATTCAGTCAGTCAATCTCGGCTTTCGAACTGCACGTCAGAAAAGTCCTGATTTTTAAGAAGGCACAACATTCACAAGGTCAGAGACATGCAGCAATTTCTAAAATATTGACCCTTATTCTTAGACGGGACGTTGATGTAAGACCATGCAAAATGGCGTTGACCACACAGGCAGGTTTAACGCAAGTCATGTCTGCGCTGTTTTACTCAAGACCTACAGACGTGAAAATTTCTATAAGGA